CCTATTATAGAGTGTATTTTATTTCATTTTATTTTTTCACAGCTGAGCCAATGGATGAGTACTCTTCAATCCCTGCCTCCATAGCAGAGAGGTACAAAGTGGGAAGGACTTTAGGGGATGGAAACTTTGCTGTGGTCCGAGAGTGTGTGGAGAGATCCACTGGAAGGGAGTATGCGCTCAAGATCATCAGCAAAGATAAGTGCAGGGGAAAGGTGAGCCTGCTCTGCACCTGCTGAATTCAGCTTTTACACCATTTCTAATGTTCATAAAGTTGAAGTTCAACTGTTGCTGAGTCATTTTTTAAGTCATTGGTGAGCAGGGGTTGCTATAATGCTGGAAACAAAAATATTTGGTTCTGGTTGGTTTTGTTTGTTTGTTTTTTGTTTAACTTACAGCATCAAATGATCCTAGTTTACAGAGTTCTCTTTTGAAAACTGTTTTCTATTATCTTCTCTAAAATTACAAAACAAATCTCATGTATTGTGTATAAAGTATTCTGGCTACAGTGTACAGATTGTTTTCTTTGTCACCCAGGAGCACATGATACAGAGTGAAGTATCAATCCTTCGGCGTGTGAAACATCCCAACATAGTTCTTTTGATTGAGGAAATGGACACGCAAAACGAGCTCTATCTTGTAATGGAGTTAGTTAAGGTACTGATTTATTTTTTTTAAACAAAGAAATTGAAACCTTTGATGTCACAAGATAAAATTCAAATAAGTTATCAAAAACATTTAATATGTAATGCATTCTTTTTGCTGTCATAGACTGGTTTATAGTTGAATTAATTAACTTCAGTTAAAAAGAAAATTTTATCAACCATTTATCTGCGTCAGACTGTTATAAATTTAGCAACTGGGCCTCTTTCACATTTCAAACACTCTTTCTCCAGGGGGGTGATCTCTTTGATGCCATTACATCTTCTAACAAATACACTGAGCGCGATGCCAGTTCTATGCTGTTCAACCTGGCAAGTGCTATCAAGTACCTGCACAGTCTCAATATTGTCCACAGGGACATAAAACCAGAAAATCTGTTGGTAAGTACGACTCTGCACAGAGCATCTGTATGTGTGGGGAAT